ATATTTAATTGTATATAAAATATGTCAATTTTTTATGTAATTATATATAATTTTATATAATTATACATATATAATTATATGTAATTATATATGAAACATTTTTTCCGGTTTGATAATTCTTAAAATAAGGAATGAAAATGAAAATTTTCTAATCTTTCGCTTTTTTAGTTTATTTATTAGTTGTTTTTACAGCAATAATGAATTCGAGATCTGTCCTAAATTTTAATACAACTAATTATTGTAAATTAGATTCGTTCAGTCGAATTTTTAATTGACTGCTTTATTCGTGTCGATCTACTAATTTCATTACAATATTATACTTTGCTATTTATATCATAATTACGTTATAATTATATTAGTCATTACGGGATCATAAATTAAAGATAGGAATGCCGAATTAATGCGGCATCTTGTTAAATTAAATCTTATGTTTAATGACCGCTGATAATTAGAGATTATTAATTGAGAATTTTAACAAGATTATTTGAAAAGTCTTAATTAAAGTCTCAATTAAGGAAAACAGTTATAATATACGTTTAAAAAGTCTTGTGCAATAAATAATCGACGCTTAATGCGCAGTAAGTAAAATGTCGGCAGATTTGAGCACGAATATCGTGATAGATAAATATCAGTATCCGCATTATGCTCATGTTCTGTGAGAAAATTGTGTCGACACAGCAGAAGTCGAGTAAAATATGTCATTTAATATTAAAAAATTATTTAAATGAAATGGATTGTTTAAAATTATTTTTAAATGACAAATTTTGCAATTAAACATTATCAATCTATTAGCAGATTCTTTTTTAATTTCTGTTGGTATTTCTTTGACAACATTTGTATACACTTCTGTAAAAAATGTAAAATTTCTTTGTAAAATGTCTTGTGTAAAATTTCTTTGTTGCTATATGTAACTTTGTATAATACGTCGTTAAAAATTTAAAGAAAAACAGACATAATTAGGGGGAAAGGCTATAATTGGCATGGGCGTCCGCAAGATTTTTTCTAAGGAAGGGGGGAGGCCGTTTTGCCACACGTAAGGAAAAAATGTTCAAATATTTCCTTCCTTGGTGACCCTACAATCCCTACAGTGTCGAGTTGATAATTTTTTTTTTCGTCACTTTTTTATTTCTAATATGTACACCTTTTAGTTAAAAGCTTCCTCATCACGACAAGATAGGTGTA